GGATCTTTTGGGAAGTCATTTCTGCTAAATGGCAATGTCTATTAGTACGTAATTTCAATCATTGGCCGTTTTGTAATATAATATGTTCGGCTTATTGCCCCTTACCATTTATTTACATACTCTGTATTTCGGTTCATTTTGCCCTTCGATTTATAGTTCAAAAAAAAGGTCAAATTATGCCTATAAAAAAAAATGATCCATTTTTCCTTATTATTGGTTTGCGCACAGTCACTCTTGCATTGCATCATCGTCATGCAATTGCACGTGTGGAATGCAAATGCCGACCGGCTGTGGACAAACTAAACATACCTTAAAAATGCAAACTTAATTAATGTCTAGCGCAACGCCAAAGATAACCAAGGAAATACTTTTGTTCTGAACAATACATACATAAAACAATAATACGACAGTCATATGAAAGCACATTATCCATCACTAAATCTACATTTAATGTTAATTGTTACATGTAAACCAAGTTCCAAAACTACAATTGTTTTGGGTTGAACCAGTACCTAGGGAATTAGGTTCACCATTGTCGAATGAGAAACCATCGTCACTGTTCGGGATAGAACCGGTTGGGTCTGCAGTAGAAAAACTATCAGAACCAGACAAATCAACCACATAGTTGCCTCTGCATTGAGAAACCATTTGACTAGGATAACTGTAGCTAATGTCCGGGGACGGCCCTTTATCAGAACTATACTGATAGCTTTCACTACCTGATGGGATATTGACACATGCATTTCTACTTGGATGCAAGTTTCTTTGAGAGCAATTACGCTTTGTATGTCCATATCCACGACACAAATGACATTGTTGGCGCTTGCGTGTTCCACCTTGCCTTGCTTGAGTGCCTTTTGTCTTAACAATATTTGGATCTTTCACAATATTTGTAGGACATTGGTCAGCAGTACCCAATTTCAGACTTGTCTCTTCTTCCTTTTGCCGTAAGCCTTCACAAATTCCCTCCCATCTACTAAACTCATTCATCAACATGGCATAACCCTCTGCACTCTTCGATGCATAAAAACAAACTTTGTTTGACATAGCATTTAAACTTCCATACCTCGCCATTTCTACAACTTCGTTGGTAGTGTCTTTACCTTTGCCGATAAATTCCATACATGTATCAGTTTAGGCACTCTTTGTCCATCTCTTCATTATGAGTGCTGGAGGAATTTCCGTAAGGTGCTCGCACTTCATTACATAAAACAGGTGGCAACACGGGATCCCT